AGGTGGTTGGTAGACCCCTGCAGAAACACCAGGAACTGACCAGCCGTGGTAGGACACCCAAGCTACAGGGGTGCCCTGCAACACGTGTCCCTGATAGAAGAAGAGAGAAATTCGAGCCTGCAGTTTTTGCAGCACATAAAAAGAGCGGGTAGATCTCCTAGTCCATACAGCTAACCTAACATTAAAATAACACATTTTCCTGTGTTAACATTAAGTTAATGTGGAAGGACAATTTTTTTCATCTGTCAAGATATTCTTAAGGTAATGTGAAATGTTTGCTGGATTTAACTTTTTAAACACCAAACCATGAAAAAGTATGGGGAAATGGAAGCATAGCTCCAAATTCATATTAGCATACACCCAACTGAAGTCGAGATAGGTTATTTTGTATAGCAGTGGTCTACAGGCTGGATGGTCCGGGTTTGATTCCATGCATTCAGAGATTTTTCTCCTCTTCATAGAATCTGGATACATTCTGGGGTCCCTCCAGCCACTTAGCTAATGGGTACCAGGGGATTCTGAATACTGACTCATCCATGTGAGGGTTGTGTAAATAGCATAAGTTGAAGTATATGATTTTAAGGTTGTTCAAATAGCATGAGGTGACAATGTGATGTATGTGAATGGATGTATCTCTGAATAACCGCGTGTGTGTAACCACTGTTGTTATTGCTGATTTTAGACATTCTTTGTATTTATACAACATGTTCCACATCCAGCAGCCATTTGACTTACTTTGGATCTATGGAATGCATTGTAAGTATAAATTCTCTCGGCTAGAGACCGCCTCTGTGGTCCAGTGGTCAAATTTCCTGACTACAAATCCAGAGGTCTGCGTTCGATTCCATGTGCTACCAGATTTTCTGAGAAGTACTGGGTCTGGAAAGGGGTCCATTCAGCCTCATGAGGATAGTTGAGGAGCTGTTTCAAGGAAATAGCAGCTCCAGTCTAGAAAACCGAGGTTAACGGCCGTGGGGATTCTTTGCGCCGACCATGTGACACCCTTTTTCCGCTAAAGCTGGCACTAACTTCGCCGACAAGTGGCAGTCGCTCGGTCAGTGTAGTTTGCTTACGGACAAAACCACTGAGTTTTTTTTCCATATGTGAATTAGCCGGATGGCTCAACAGCCTTCTCACAATTTCAGCGCGGAACTTTTCATATATCTCTGATGACAAGGTGTGATGAAAACTTTCTGACTAATAACGGTCTTGTTCTCTTGCAGAACTTCCGATGAACAAGGTTGTGGTGGGAATAGTGCCAATGCCAAATACAACTTCAGTTGGACCCAAGTTAGACTCTTGGAGCAAGAATATGCACCTCGTGTGAGATGGGAGCGACTTCAAGATAATTAACGAGAAGCCAACTATAAACACGTGAAGTCCAGGATTGACCGTACGAAGAGACCATTCAGTCTAGATCGCGATGAAAATGAGATTCTAGCAGGGTGAGTTGTGGCATGGCTCAGGAGAGAAACATACCAGGTGCTGGCTATCACCATTATAAAGTGGAAGTAGAGGTCACCAGCTCCTCCGTTGGAACGAGACCCCTACTTAAGCTGAGGCCAGAGCTGTTGAGGCTGCTGCCCCCCTTGAGGGAGCATCACATCCGTGAGCTGCTGGTTATCTGAGAGGCCGTAAAGCATTTCTGTTACATGCTGGAAGCGCGCCGTAAGCCGCATCACATATGCCTTCCAGTAGAAACGGCACAAATGCTGACCGTGGACCTCCGACACGCTAGTCAGCCGCAGGTGCCCTTACATCGGGAGTGCAGAAAGTAACAGCGAGGCTTTAGCAGCAACACCTTCAGCCAACGCAAGAAAACCCTGCCGGTTGGCAGTTACACGGCCGCCGATGCTAGGAGGACCAGCCGACTCGTAGTCGTCCGGCCGCGTGCAGAGAAAAGGTCGCCCGGCTTGCATGGAAGCATGATATATGAAGGGTGATTCCCCCATTAGAATTTCATGCACAGGAATTTATTGTGGTCTAGAGAACTTTGGCAGAAATGAGTGATGTAAACTTTTGCCTCGTACGACTTGCAGGGTTAGGGTGGACATATGCCTCTGAATAGAAGCCTGCGCCCCTTCATTACAGTTTGACACATACCATGTCAACATTATATCATTACATATTTAAATATTTGTATACTGCCGTAATTCACAATTTCTGTATGATGTGTATATATCAAACTTGTAATCATTTCTCATATTTATAAATATCCATTTTCCTTAGGTTTTTTTTTAGGTAGGTTGTTATTATAAGAACTTTCAGAGCAAGCAGTTCTGATGTCACAGATGGAAATGTCAGAACTGAAGAATTTGCAACTGCCATTTCTGTATTTAAGAAGTTGATATTCAAGGATCAGTTAGAAAGTAAATACCTATAGTCTAAGCAGGGCAGTGTTTGTTATTATACCATCACCATAAAAGTCTAATGCAGAACTGGTATAAATTATGATAGGACCAGAAGATAGCATTCAATGGCAGTGTTCCAGTCAGTATTACACCATCAGCCTTTGCTAAGAAATTGTGCTAATTTTATCAAGCTGTCTTTCTAGAACATCTCACTTTTATAGTTTGTATATTCAGCAGAAAATCATGATTTCAGAGTGACCCTCAAGGCTTATAACTTGTAAGGGTGGATCAGTGGAAAAGGTATTTTGT